TCGGGGCTCTATTCGACCCTTAACAAGTCTGTCTCTAACACTCATGTCAACCTCGTTGCCTCTGTTTTACTTATCTCAACTTAGTGTGTTAGATGATGCACTGTTCTCCTCGATCACATCATGACACTTGTGTATCTTAGGACTCACGTGGTCGAATAGGTGCCATAAGAGAGTCGCTGCCTTGTTTGTCTCTATGTAAGGGTCACAACCTACTCTTTTCATAGTATTGTTGTGACATTCTCCCCCACTTAAAATAGTTATCGTCCTTACTGACTTTTTCGAGGGTATAATTGTACCATGTAGAAAAACTATAGGGTTTGACCATAGGTTTGAAAAAAAAATAGGAGACAATTAGGACTTGGTGATACTTTTCACACTACTAGCAACCTCATAAACTCCCTTTAATTTACTTGGGTGGTGTGGAGGTTTAGGTATTTAGGATACTTAGACTAATCCACTACTAGCAATCTCACATTTTTCGATTACTCGGGACTAGTTCATCTGGGCTAATCTAATTTTTGGGAACACTAAGGTCTAGACCTATGATCATCTCTCATGATCCTAAAGTGCTCAATCTACTAAAAATGTATTGAATTAGGGCAACATAAAAACTGCTCTAGTTCTACTGCCCAAATCTAAACTTGGTTTATTGTGCATGTTTTATTAGGGAGATAATCTTACCAATCACCTAAAGTACAAAATTCATAACCTAAATATTCATACAACGGATAGATAACATCCATCAATTACTTGGAGTTCATTATCACGATATCGCATCCTCTTACTAGCAGAAGAATGGAAAGCACTAAAATCAACGTGTAGATCTTAAATTCTCATATATATATTTAACTAATTTGAATCTCATTCAAATTTTAAATATTTTTTTTATTTCATGTATCTAATATATATATTATATCTAACCTATCTAATATATTAAATACGAGTTGGAACACTTCAAATTAATATATTTTTTTACATTTTTATTTAATAATCTAATATATTAAATATAATTTAAACCTTTCAAATTTTTCTTTAGACTAAGTTGAACATTTTAGCATTATTATAAGCTAACAAAAGATCTTATGAACCTATACATTATAAACTTCAATGATACAAATTTAATTAATTAAATTCTTCGATTAATAAATTTTCATTCTTTTAACTATAGGTTACTCTACGGTAGACTTAGAGTTGCACTCATGCACTATAGAATAAGTTGTATCAATTGATATAATCATTACAAGCAAGTTGATCGTTACGATTATTTGAAATTACAATTAGGTCAAAATGCTCACCTTATCACCATGAATTCTTGAATGAGCCTCCTCTTGTGTATCGTCAACTCTGATAATGGTTACGTGTGGAAAATCTTTAAATTCAATCCCATCTTGAGTTTAAGAATGTCCAAACACTTCAACCTTCCTCAAATCGGTCGGGAATCTCACGGTTTTTTTTCTTCAAGAAATCAAATATTACAAAATAAATAAATAAAATCAAATCTCAAAATACATAAGAAAAAATAGTATTTCTAACCTAACAATAATGAAAACTACTGATAGGCCGAACGAGGTATGCACCCAACGATTGCTTTCCGACATCGTCTCTGCAATAGTGTATCTACCCTTCGAGTTTGTAAATGCTTGGTAGTTTAGAACTTAGGTTCCTAAACTTTCTACAACTCCCGACAATCTTCCTAAGTAAAGGACGAAACTTGGTCTAGTTCTCCTATAGTTGCTCTATAAATTAGTAACTTATTTGATTAAATCTATTAACCATTGTCAAGTTACTCATAAGTTGATAACTTATTCTATAAACCAAGTTTATTAGCTCAAAAACAGTAGTCTATAAGCAAGTTTATTAACTTAGAAGAAAGTTGTGAGAAAGAGCAAAAGGGTTGGTGCCCTTGCTTATCGTCTTGATTTTACGTAAATACGAGGTCAGAAGCAAAACAGACAAATAGAACGACCCAAACAGCAACGATGGTAAGAAGAAGAAGATTCATTTAAACTACTATGTGAGATCCCACGTTGGTTTAGAGAGGAGAATGAAACATTTTTTATAAGAGTGTGGAAAGCTCTCCCTAATAGACGTATTTTAAAACTGTAATGCTGAAGGCCATACATAATGGATCAAAGTGGACAATATTTACTAGCGGTGGGCTTGGGTTGTTACAAATGATATCAGAGTCAGGCACCGAGCAATATGTTAGCAAGGACGCTGCCCCCAAGGGGGGTGGATTGTGAGATCTCACATTAATTTGGAGAGGGGAACGAAACATTCCTTATAAGGGTGTGGAAACCTCTCCTTAGTAGAAACCGTGAGGCTGAAGACGATACGTAACGAGCTAAAACGGACAATATTTGCTAGTGGTAGGCTTGGGCTGTTACAAATGATATCAGAGTTAGACAATAAGCAATGTGTCAGTGAGGACGCTAGCCCTCAAGGGAGGTGAATTGTGAGATCCTACATTGGTTGGAGAGAGGAACAAAACATTCCTGATAAGAATGTGGAAACATCTCCCTAGTAGAAGGGTTTTAAAACTATGAGACTGACGACGATACGTAACGGACAATATTTGCTAGCAGTGAACTTATATTGTTACAACTAAGATTTATACCGCTCAAATGAAGATGATATGAACTTCATAAACAATATGAATATTTCAGCAGCTCAAATATAAGTGATAAGAATAAGATGAAGATTCATTTAGCCTACTAATATTAATAAAGCTCAAATGCAAGTGATACCCTTCTTAGAGCGTGCAAAACAACACAATCAAACTAGTAATGAACAACAAAGCACGATCAAGCTTTACTCCTCGTCCCTCATCAATCCAAAAAAATGTTAAATGGATATTATATCAATATTTCAACACTCTCCCTCAATTGTGAGTTTGAAAATATCTACAAGTCCCAATAAATGGATATTAGGTTGAGGAGGAAATGACATTACAAGAGTAGTTGGAACACAAGATCTGATGCTCTGATAACAAGCTAAATAACCAACCAATCCAGACGCTAACATATCTGCTATCCAACTCAAACATCGAATTCTGATAAATCAACCAAAACACGGAAACAATAAACAGGTGAAGAACTTATTGTTGATCCCCATCATAAAAGAACTCCCCATGTAACCATTTCCAAAACTGTAAAAAAGGGGCAAGAACTACAAATTTAGTACAATGGGAGAAAGGCATTAATGAAATAGCTATCTAGAGCTTTAGATATTTCACTCTCCAATCCAACGTGAGTGCAGTTAGCAGTAACCATATGCAATTCATAACAATCAATCCAGTTGTTTACTATGGCTAACATCTCACAAATTCTTTAAATGAAATAACTATCTACGCATACAGTTTTACTTGATTTCATTTGAAAAAATCGCTAATCCCTTCACAATATACCCAATTCTTCCTTAATTTCTTAGCAGTACTTATATCAGCACATTCCAGTGAATTCATGGCCAAAAGCAACAATCTCAAACGAAATCATCTCCAAAATAGCCGAACCATGAAGATCAAAAACCAAAACCAGGAAATGTAGTCGAGAATTTTTCTACCAAAAACGTAACCGCAAAAGATTGAACCAGGAGACCAACCTTCAAGAACATGGTCTTCTGGTCCTATGGAAGAATCGCCGCAGACATCACAAATCACACGGCCATAGAAGCCAGTCAACAACTGCTTCCTGTGCGCCTCCATGGATGTGGTTCTTCAGCTCTAAATTTTGATTCTCTGATGCCAAAAGGCGAAATGAGTTGTTCTGCAGTGTAGCAGTGTTTAAAAAATCGGTCGATATGTCGGCAGGGAAATTTCGTTTTTCCATACGACTTGTCGTCGATTCGAGTGTAGTACGATGAAAAAAATCCTTTTTTTTTTTTTTTTTTTTAATATACAAAATTGACTGACGGGCTGCCCGATGAAACGGCCTGGCCACCTGACAAGCTGTCAGCGCCTGAGAAGCTTTTTAATAGTTATTTTACATTATTTTATAATTGAAATTTGATGATTAATAAAAAAAAGAAATCCTAATAAACAAAGTTTTGAATTTTGTGATTTATATAAAAAATATTATTAAAACTTTCAAAAAAAAATTTAATAATATCTTTGAAATTTAAGAAAAATGGTTGATTTTAAACCAAAATATTAGTAGGGGTGAAAATTTAAAAATAAAAGAAAGTAAAATTTTTTTTACCATCTATCATTTTTTTTAATGGAAGAATATTAATATTACTTTTAAAACTATAATTTATAGTGTTTGGTCCGTAACAAATAAAAATTTTCTAAAGTAAAAAAAAGGTCTACATGTATTTTTAAAGTTTTTTAAAAAAGGTTTAAAAGTGTTTTTTAAATTAAAAAAAGTTTTAAAATATTAATGAAATTTTTTAAGAATTAATTAGAGGGTAATTTTTAAATTTTTTTTAAAATAAAGTATTAATGGTTTCATTTTAAACTAATTTTTTAATATTTAAAAAAAAATTAAGATTGTTATGAAACTTTTGAATTTTTTACTCAAAATTTTCAAATTTAAATGTATTTTTAGATAAAGTAGATAGTTTGGAGATATAAAAAAATAAACCAATAAAATAAATAAATAAATATAGATATTAAAAAACAGTTACGATGGCGAAGGGTAAAAATGTAATTGTGTATACCCTCGTGAAGCAATTGAAGGTTCTGGTCTCATCTGCCTCATGTATAAAACCAGAAGAACCCAGATGTCACAAATCCGCCGCTCGTCATCCTCTTCCTCTTCATCTTTCGTTTCATCCAGAATGCTCTAATTATAACGGCCCCCCTTTCGATGCAAATTTGTAGGATTGTGATGAGTTTTCTGATTTTGCTGCTTGAAAACTGTAGCTAATCGTTCCGTTTGGATGCTTTTTGGTCTTGTTTTTGATGGCTGAATTAAGCTTTCAATCTCTTGGTTAGTTGTTCTTAGTTCTCGATTTTTACCTTGAATGAGGATGATTGGTATGTGAAAAGGTCTTGAAATTTATATCCCTATGATGATCGATTTGGTATATAAAAGTAGTGGACTGAATCTTACTGATGAATTATCAATTCTGAGGGATATTTCAAATCGATTTATTTATGTGTTTTTGTTGAGCATTTTTTAGATTATGGATGTGGAAGTAGGGGCATGTTGTGTTCATATTTGAGCTTCAGAAATCATTTAGATGATTGTTGTTTTGTGCTGAACATTTTGAAGCCATTCCAAATGCTGACAGCTCCTATAATTGTGAAATATAGATTCTATTCTGCATTTTGGAATACAATTTTAATCTCTAATTCTTTTGAGTTATTTATGGGATGAAAAAGAAAGTACATTCTAACATTGTTTTCCCCTACAAATTCTGGTGTCAAAACTTGCCCTACTTTTAAACTTTATTCCTATGGGTTCAAGTGACATTTGAATGAGTCATGAAATGAATGAAAGATGTACACATTACCTATGGGTTGAGTTGAGTTAGTACATTTTAGAGTACTCAATTATGAAATCTGAGTTATGAATTCTGAAGTTAAGTTTAGAAAGTATCTGTGATGTTGAATTGCTTAGAACTTTTAAGTCTGAGTTTCACAAGTTTGCTTGAAGTTCTGAGGTTTAGGTTTGAATCAATAACTGGACTTATTTCATTTGTCTAACCCGTATCATCTTGTTTAGGTCATGGTTTGTTTCGCGGGTCTCATTTGGACCCTATTAGTACAGTGGGTTAGATCAGTGATTTAAGTTTGAATTCAATGTCTTGATGCACTTAAACTCTTTGTTCCACTCCAATTCAGTATATGCAGTTTGGAGCATTTTTTTAAGTTGCTGTGTACTGTTTATTAAGACTTGCGACTTTGCAATCTAGTCTGGCAACTTTTCTTCCATCAATTGTGGCTGTTTTTGGTTCCTTGGGTGAATGCCCCATTGTCTGATCTCCACTCTCTTTCCACTAGGGCCATAAGTGATTCAACATGCTTTGAATCCTCTATTTTTGACAATGAGTTCCTCTTTCTTTTTTATGTACATGTCATTATGTTGTACAATGTTGGGGTTGTAATAATTGTGATCATGATTATTAACGGAGAATTATTTCACATCTTTCCAGGTAAGGGTGAGTTGAAATATACCATATATAGTACAACAGAAATGGAGTGTAGAAGATGAGAATAACGGATATTCAAATGGTCTAGAAGGGTTAGGTGTGATACGTGCACTTAATAAAAATTCTAACAAAAAATATAAGGTAAACATGGTTAGATTATGGAGTTACCCACAACCTTTTGGCATTGAGATACATGAAGATGAAAATCATCAATTTAGCAGCTTTACCTATCTTAGGAGTTGTAAAGAGAACTTTGATTAAGTTGTGGACTTGGATGGGACAAATTGGCTTTGTGATAGATAAGATGGATGACTTCGATATCGTGTCAGGGATAGACATCATATAATAACACAAAGTCATTCTCATGCCCTTAGCAAAATGCTTAGTAGTAACGGGATTCAACCTAACAATCATTCAGACCAACACCTGTCAACGAGAAAGGGTGAAAATGATGTCAGCACTATAGTTGAGAAGGGAACTTAGCCATGATTAACCTATGCTCATTGTCGGGATGCAAGACTAGAAAGTTAGACAAAGTATTTATCTCTATCTAAGCAGATAGATCATGAGATTTATTTTATGTCGAGGGTGAGATTGTCTGCCAGAGATGACGACTCAACTGCTAGCTGAGTTCCAAAAATAGCTAAATGACTTATTGAAAGGTGGGTCCAATGACTTATTGAAAAGTGGGTCCGTTAGACTCTATGAAACTCTTGTTAGTGATCATCCAAATGCTGGAAAGAGACACCACGCCAACACCCCTACTGAAGCGGGAAGACAAAGACAAACCTTCGAAGAAAATCATGTTTACATGGGAAGACCATCCAGATAGATGAAGAAAAGAGTCGGTTGGAAGCGTCGGCCATTACAATTCGAAAATGGAGAGAGTTTTGATCAAGTTGAGGTCAGATCAACTTTGATTTCAAGACAACAAGAACCTACGCCTGGTGCGAAAATACTATGGACCAGTCAAAGTCATTTAGAAGGTCAGGAAGGCTCATATAAGATTCAATTATTCCCTGGGTGCGGAGTACCTTGAAATGTTACTCTCTCGATAGAAAGACACAAGGCACAAAGAAGTGGTACAACCTCATGCCACGAAGAAGAGTTCCACCGCAAAGAAAGTAGAAGAGATTCTGGTAAAGAAGACACGAAAGTCGACAAACAATGAAGTGATTTTCAACGGATTCTAATAGATTGGGAGAGACTCCTCAAGGAAGATATCATCTGGAAGCACTTCAAGAGACTTGGAGCCAACTTCATCCTACATCACTAAGTTTGTGAAGTTTCGGTTGACAGATACATCGATCAATTGAGTGGGGGATGACGTCACTTTCATGTTTATCCAAAGTGTGCCTATGAACTCATGTCTGATGTCCCAGTCATGCTTATCTAGGACGTATTGTCCATGACTGCATACTCGTTCCAAAACCTTTTTAATTGTTTTCATGTATAATTAAGTCTTTACTATTTATGTCGTACAAATTCAGGGGTGTATGAATGTCCATCAAAATCATGTCTATACCTATAAGAGCTCAAATGCTCCAAAATGTAGTATAGGAGATGTGACTAGTTGTCAATTCCTCCTACCTAAGTTATATGCTATCAAAGTTGTGATTGTTACTTATTTGCTTTTAGCCTATAACATTGATTTCTTACAATTTGTTTTCAACGCATTTTCTCGCTCACGTTTTTTAAAACACTTTCTCTCAAACGTGATCGAGGCTTGATCATCATCAAAATTATTAGCAACTTACGATTTCATATTGTTGACTTGTTCACCTCGTTAAAATAAGTGGCAGTCACCCAGTTAAAATAAGTGGCAGTCACCCAGTTAAAATAAGTGGCACACAATTATAGTCCACTGCCACAAGAGTGCGATTGTGACATCTGACACGCTTCTCAGCTAGCTGATCGACATGTGTCGCCGCCTATCGCTGAGGTAGGTCCTTTCTCACGGCTGCATGAAAATACCAGAATCCTTCGATTTTTTGATTTCTTCTTTTTTTTTTGTTGTCGATATTTTTTATAACTTGTACAAATTTTGAATCAACTTGGTTCATTCACCACACTTGTATAGTTTTAATTCATCTTTACAAAAATGTTTTTTCGGGTAATTTTTCATCAACCACAGGAAGAAATAATGAAGTACTAACTTAGTTCCATCTCCACCTTCCAATTCGATTCAACTCCAACTTCTGTCATAGACTTTGTGCGAAATCTCTTCAAGAACAACATATCAAAAATTCAGAGCATAACTCTTCCTAGATCTCACAAATCTAAGAAAAAACTGAAAACAAAAATAAAAAACATACCTCTCATTCTTCCTTGATTCTTGACAGTTTTGGATGATCAAAATGTCCAAATTGAATGCTAACAATATACCAAAAATTCGGGCTTCCACTGAAAGATTTAAAATGTGTTTGCCAGGGAGAGATTTCTTCATCCTTATAAAGAATGCTTCTTCCATTCTCCAACTGATGTGGGATCTCACAATCCATCCCCTTAAGGACCCAGCGTCCTCGCTAGCACTCGTTTCATTCTTCAACTGATGTGGGATCTCACAATCCATCCCCCTTAGGGGCCCAGCATCCTCGTTAGTACTCGTTCCCCTCTTCAATCGATGTGGAATTTCACAATCCTCTCCCTTCGTAGCCCAGCATCCTCGCTAGCACACTATCCGGTGTCTGCCTCTCATCGAGGCTCAGCATCCTCGCTGACACACCTCTCGGTATCCACCTCTTCGTGGCTTAGCGTCCTCACTGGCACACCACCTAGTGTCCACCCCTTTTGGGGCTCAACGTTCTCGTTGGCATACTACTCAATATCTCGCTCTGATATTAACTATAACGTCCCTAATTTTCTTACCATAAATTTGTAACGTCACTACATGCATGCTTTGAAATCATATGCGGAATCTATAGTAAATACTTTTAAAATAAGGTCATGGACCTTGGGCTCATAGGGGGTGGATTGTGAGATCCCAAATCAGTTGGAGAGGGGAACAAAACATTGTTTGTAAAGGTGTGGAAACCTCTCCCTAGCACATGCATTTTAAAAGCTTGAGGGAAAGCTGTGAAGAGAAAGCCTAAAGAGGACAATATTTGGTAGCTATGGACTTAGACTATTAGAGTTGGTATTAAAGTCCTAGGTCAGAGTCCTCAATCAGGTGATGCATGTAGTAGATTTTTTTTTTTGTTAAAGTAAAGTATAACATATTATGTGTGATATGTTAGCATGATAACAATAATGTAAGATTAGATATGTTATGTCATTGTATGTTAATGTGATATGTTATGTCATTGCATGTATTGGATATATTTATATGATTGATTAGAGAAGCTGGTAAGTTAAGTCGAAGTATGTGACTTAGTAGTTAACTAGGAGATTAGGAAGAGGATGCAGGGGATGACCCCCTATTAGAGGTAGAAGAATAGATAGAAGAGGCCCCGATCAGGAACACGAGGAATTAGTGAAACAACCTGACGAAACGGTGCCACTCCCACCTCCAGCAGCGCCTCAGGCTACACTAGACCCTATAACTGCTGTTAATGGAATTATTACATGCCATTATGCAAATGATGGCTACAACACAATAAGAAATTTTTTTTCCGTTAATCAGTGAAGCAAAGTGCTTGCAAGACTTTAGGAGGGTGACTCTCATAAATTTAGTGGGTCTTAAGATGATCCGACAGTGACACAACTATGGTTGAATTCGATAGAGTCAGTGTTTGTGCTGACCAATTGCCTAGATGTTCAGAAGGTACAATGTGGAGCGTTCATGCTACGAGATGATGTAGAACTATGGTGGCAGTCCACCTGTGAAATTATTAGTCATGGGGGAGGTGTAATCTCGTGGGCGGACTTCAAGAATGCCTTTCTAGAACAATGCTATTCGGAGGAAGCTCAACTTCGTAAGCAGTAAGGGTTCACTCAACTGTGTCAAAGGATGCATTCAGTTACCAATTATGCCAGAAACCTTAT